AATTGTAAGTCATTCATAATTAGTTGGGACCAACAATTATCCACAATACTCGTGCACTTTCTACAAGGTGATAAAACGTATGTGACTTGCATATAACTCTAGTTCACATTTGAGCTTCAAGAATTTGCTTTACTCATCTAGGACTTTGGTTCTATTATGTAAATCATGGTGAACTCCAAACTCTTCCTCCTCTACCTTTAATTTTCCATCCCCACTTCAAGATTTAACACTCACTGACTAAAGCAATAAAGGATTCACTCTTCTCTCACAAAGAAATATCACAAGTTAGGCTTCAAGTACCATAGACTTGCCCCTCATGTAGATCTCCACTAATGTAAGCTCATTCAGGTCAAAATCAAGTAGAACTTATTTCAAGTTGTAATGAAGGCTTTTAGATTGGGGTGGGATAACATATGAGATAAGTGGTTACATCCTTCCTTAAGCACTTCACTTTTTATTTCTTGGCTCACATTTGCCAAATCCTTAGAGGCATTCCTTTTTCTTGGGGGCTAGAGAGACTTACTATCACTCTTTATTGTTCATTTCATTCTTTTTCTCCCTTAATTCTCATGCTTTAGATAATTGCCTCTTCTTCAATTTCATTAGTCTCCCGTTTAATTTTCTGTTTGTTCTTTCTTTTCTTACTTTCTCTTTTCATGGAGATCATTTATTTTCTGTCTTTTCAGTGCATTGATACCTCTTTTAGATTCCTAAACTTTCCCCCAAACTTAGGCTTTGAGCCACGTATTACATGTGAGTGTTAAGGAAGGTTCGGTTGCCAAGAGAGTATTATGAGCAAAACAGGTAAAGGCTTGTAGCATGGTTACCAATAGAGAAAGCCTAAAGGCATAAAGGGGTCAACTAGGGATAACGATCATATGGTGGCAATAGAAAGCTCAAACGGTCCAAGGAAAGCCTATAATCATTTTCCAAACCAAGAAAACTTAGAATTTCTCCTTGAAACACATTCGGGGCAAGTTCTAAACTGTTCACTCAATTACTTGGACTAACAATAAGAATTCACCTCACTTCTCGTGCAACTAGATAGTAAAAGAAGATAGAGTCTAAAGCCCACAAAAATTATAGTCAAGGTAAAGATCACTATGGTCCATTCAACCACCTAATGTTTATCAAAGTTAACTCAAGAATCTCAAAGTAACTAAAGTAGATCTACTTTCTTCCAAAACCCTTATTTCAAACCATAAGAATGTAGTCAAGTATGTTGGTGCTAAATGAAGCATGAAGAACTCTTTTTGGAGAATGACATAGTTAGGGATTTTATTTATTACTACTTACTAGTATTATTACCTAAACATGAAACTGGCTCATTCCCTTAAAAAAGTTGTCACAATATCCATACTTGGGAAGAGTCACTCGGTTCACACAAAAGACCACATTTGGAAAGAACCCCCACATGAATAAAACCAAATGATTATTATCAACACTAATAAGAAAAAAATAAAAGCTACTAAAACAAACACAATTAAAGATAAACAACTAAAGAAGCTAAGGAAAGCAAGAACTACTAAAGATAAATAAAAAGTAGAATCATCCAATTATTACATTTCAATGTTGTCAATAGTATAAAATCATCAAATATGCTCCACTCCCCCCCCCCCAAATAAAAAAGAGAATTATCCCTAATGCTTAACAAAATAAGATCAACGAGTAGAGAGGGCGAAGAAAATCCCTAAGTGTCTTAACTCATCACCGTGTCACTAGCAACATGAGTCTCAACTGGGTCAGCTAACTTAATATCATCATCAAGTGGGAGCAGCCTGAATATATGAACATAGCATGCACCGCCTCAACAGTGTCAGAGGCAAGGCAAGACTCCTTAGTCTGAGCAGCAGGA